GCTCAGATCATAAAGTCATCACAAAATGAGGGCAAAATCTCTGGGTAGTGTCTTATCTACAAACCCATCTGCCTTCCAAAATTTATCATGGAACTTAGTTCGTTAAAACTCCCTCGCTCATATAAAAAAAAGAAATCGCGCGTGCGAGGAGGCCGGGGCCGAATTTTCGGAGCCCACAATTTCACTATAATTTATTAATTTAAAAAGAAAAAAAAATTATCCAAAAAAATTAAGAGCATTTTTAAATTTATTAATTTGTGTCCCCAATAATAATATTTTCTGGCTCTGTCCCTAGTACACGTGTCAATCAAATAATAAAAATGTTTATGAGAGTGTCGATCTTACGAGAAAGTGTAATGTTTCACACAAGTATTCTAGTACTACTTATTTCAAGCTACAAAAAATATCCTATGTGATGACATTAGGGTTGTATACTATCTAGAATGAGAAATGCAAAAAAAAAAAAGAAGTAAAGATATAAATAGATAAAATATTTTGGACTAATAATAGCGAAATCGTTTAAGCTTTCCTAAATAGACGCTTCTAAATTTGTTGTGAATAAAAGCATATGCATCTTTAGATCTTTGTTGAGTTTGTAAGGGCATAAAAAAAATTATGACCTTCCTACATTTATATTATCTCCATAGACCCTGGAAGGCTAAATGTAAAGTCCCAAAATCTAAATTGGAAGAATTATTTTTTTTATATTTCAAAACATCAATATATACATCTATATTCATATACCTTAAAATTATATATAATACTCATGAACTATATAATTACGACATATATTTTCAGTCATGAATATAAAAGAATAATTATAAAAATAATAAACATGAAAAATCTTAATCAATCTCACACTCTTGATCTTGTGCTTTGATCTAAAATAATTTAAATCATGTATAATAGACTAAAAAGCCTAGCAGGACATCCAATCTTACTACTGACTCAAAGTACAATAAAGAAACAGTATGCATATCATCAATCATTTAGTAATAACAACAATCATATAACCATGAATTGATGTAAAAAAAGTATAATGTACATGTTGTAGCAGTAAAGTCTGTAACCAATAAAATAGTATAGTACAAAAGATTATAAAGCAGTATAATGAGGACGCCATTAAATCAGTACGAGTGTCAAATCAACAATACAATCATTGTATCAGTATTATCAATTAGTAAGAAAATCATATAAAATGATAAAACTAAAGTATCAGTAAAGACTATTAAAATCATATCAATATAATAAAACCTTATAATGGTGTACACATGTTATCCCGTTATTTTATATCACTATCAAATCAGTATCTTAATAACATGCTCAGTATATCACATGCTTAATATAAGTATAGTGAATCAATAGTAATATCAAACAGTATTGACGTCCTTATTAATAGTAATATCAGTACAATGTCATTAATAAAATCAGAGGCAACAACAATAAATATGTACGATGATAAGAAATCAGGAAATAATAACAATAAAGCAATAACATTATACAATAACAATAACAATACCAATGAATTAATAATATAATATGCATTTTAATAGTCATACTAAATAAATAAGAAGTTCTAATTTAAGTTGTATTTTTTCATTAAGCAATAATCCACATCAATATCCTGTTGGCTTAGCAAATATAGTTGTCATAATAATAATTTCTTATAACTTTCAATCAATATATTGTGAATCAGTAAATGATAACACTAAATCACAATATTTAAAAGAACCCCTTCGACCCACCATCATATACAAGCTAGTTAGTCTCCACCCAATGTTAGTGAAACTGATTTATACTTGTCATCACACATATTATTATCACAGTATTATAATAATAATAATGATCAGTTATTACTTAATCACATACCCATATTCATTTCCAATATTTATATTAATAATATGCTTATAGAAAAAATATTAGTTATTCAATTAGTAAAAATAGTATAAAATAGAGTAACTTTTATTTTACTCGATGAAATTTAATAAACGTTAAAGTCAAGATGCCCTAGATAATCAATATAATAAAATATAAAAAGTTATGCGATAAACATTCATTAAATATGAAAAAAGCATCAAACCAATCTGAATATTAAAAATCGGCTTTCTCCCTTTCTCTCAATTGCACTCAATTCAAATATGAATTCATATATATATTTTTTCATTTTCAATTGCTTTATAAAATTCGGATTGTTATAGTAAACATCCTATGTTTATTCGTGCAATATTTCATTTTAATTCTCATAATTATTCAAATATTCCTCTATCAAGGTAATATATCACACTATATTTTAATTCTACGAATGACAACTTCATAGGTTAAATTAAGAGCGAGAGATATTGAAAATAACCATTTTAATTTAAAGCATAATAGTCTACTTAGGTTTTCACAACATTAGTTCAAAATTATGAATTTAGGCCACAGCGGCTCTAAAGGCTCTTCATTGCAGCTTTGGGTTGACCCGGTGCAGCTATTTGCTTAGCCGACGCAATACTTATCTTTGTCAACTACATTGTAGCAGCGTTGTAAAAGTTGGGAGCTGCAGCGCTCGCTTATATCATCTGGCCTTATGGCACTTCCGATGTCGACGCTCTTGCGTTGAATTATTGTGCAATTTAGAGACGCTGCAACACTAATGGTTCCGATGCTGAGGGGTTTGTTCAATGCTTGTTAAATTTCTCTATTTTTTGAGGAAATTCTTGCACAACATTAACTAAATATAAACACATTCATTGGGATCTAATACAATATTTCCCTTAACAAAATCCTCACAACTTAATATTTTGCTTATCCTCAGCGTGAAAGTTTATGGTGTGTAGGTGGAAATGCTCGAGTGTAATAAATGAGCTCCAACTCAATAACAAATTATTATTATTTTGAATATTTAGGCTGATTAAGATAAACTCACACATGCATCACATACTTAAGATTTGAACCCAAATTTTTTTGATTAATAGCCAAACCTCCAATTATGGGACCAATTTTAGTTGAGTAACTAAATAATTATTAAACAAATTTAACTCTAAACCGAAGTACCATTGTGTTTGAGGTTGAAAGATATCTCTACTGAAATTGAACGCTGTTTTCAACAATTCTCCTCCAATTCCATATTCTTTCTGTGTGTTTGTAGGAGAAGGGGAAGATCTCTCTCAGATATGCAACGTGGGAACGATTTCAGCTTCAATTCATCAAATTCCTTCGTCTATCCTCACTCCTACCCTAACCCTAGCGAATTCCCCTGCCCAAAGCAATCCCAACCGAGCTCCGCATACGTCCCTTCTCATTCCCATTTCTCTCCATCGGACATCTCCATACCCTATCCCCAAATACCGGAAGCCCCGCCCAATCCTCCGCCAGCAACGTATCCTCACCTTCTTCCCGATCTCCCTTACAACCCCCAGTATCCCTCGGCAAATTACGCGGCACATTTGTTCACCAATTCTCATCAAAATCCCTCCTTTGTCTCTTCTTATCCTGTGATCGAGAACCCCTATTTTGGAGCTGGGGTGCTTGGTGTTGATGGTTTATGTGGTAATAAACTAGAGAATGATTTTGGTTACAGTGAGTTTGGAGAGGGCGTCTATGCCTATGAAGGGGGTAGCGGTAAGCCCTGTGGCTCACATGGAACGGGGTCTGTGATGTCTTCTTCTTCGTCTTCTTGGACTGGTTTTGATGATTATGGGAGATCTTTGGGGTTCTCTTCATCTGGGAGGGAGCAGGTGGGGAGCTTGGGAAAGGTGGTGAGAGCGGAGCCCAAAGCAGAGACGCAGCATGATGCGCGGAGTGGAGTGCAGAAGTTCCGGGTTAAGTTGTTGGCTGAGAGCGCCGGGCAGAGCACCATGGATGTTCTTTGCCAGGTTCGTAAGATAATGAACAAAATAATCATGAAATTGTGTGTGTGTGTGTGTATATATATATATGTATGATCCATTTTTATGGTGATTTTGTAGTAATTAAGCTCATTGAAGGAATGTACATTGGCTACTTTAAGAATGGATGAAGAGGGCTAAGTTGAGTTCTTCACAAGAAAACTATATGAAATTTTATCAATTGGGAAAAAGTAAATCTAAAAATATTTACAGGAAGATTGAAAGAAATACAGCAAAAGACTGGAAGTATTAGTTAGATTCGATATATTATCCGCAAAACTAAATCAAGTAGATTGTAACTGTGAACAAGTGATTTGCAGATAGATATATTAATGTTAATTGATTTTTGAGACACAAGAATAGATGGAATCCTAGAAGGGAGTTTTGAAGAAGTGAATATGTAAATAAAATGATAACATAACAATTGAAAGATTGTTTCTACAATTATTCCTTTGTCGTAATAGCTATCTTCCAATCCTTGTAAGTCTTTCGCCAAGTGTAAGCACTGATTTCACTGAATAAATCATTTGCTTCAGCAAAAAAAAGCACATGAGCAAGCTGGGAGTCTCAAACTTTTATTTCATCATTCATTTCGTTATAATATAAGGATATATATATATATAATCTTAAAAAACTTAACTGTCAATGATCACCATAGCTAAGGGAGATTCGGTAATAGAACGGCACTGCAGAAGTCATAAAGATGGTGAAGTTAAAAAAAGTGGCAAAGAAGTTGAAAGATGGAAAATGCTTCACTCACAACTACGAACCATTATCATTTTGAGCATGGTGGGTTGGTGAAAACCTACTAAATAATAATACATAGTAATCAACATTTCACATTGTCTGCAACAGATAATATAAAATAAAATAAAAAAGACCTAATAACATTTAAGGCTCAAATCACATCATAAATAATGCTAAAAAAATAAAAATCATAAATAATGCTCCAACAACAACACGAGGGTCCAACAAAATGAAAATATGATGAGAATGATAAGTGTAATTAAAATGTTCTAAGTAAATATTTAGACTACGAAAGTGCCTATAACAATAACGACTATGGCGCCTTGCATCAATATTTTATATCTTTTTAGAACTTGACTATGAAAAAGAAGATCTTGTGGGGCATAACTGTTTTAGTTCCTTAACTATCAATCAAGAGGTTTCAAGAGATGAGAGACCATTCCACTGAATTCCATTATCAATAGTGAAAATAATTGAGCTAGCAAGAATTTGACCTGGAATGTGAGAACATAGAATACAAGTTGACATTGATGTTAGCGTAGGAATAAATGTAGAGGTTGTCACCAATATCTTAGGAAATGAAGAATGTGGAGATGAAAACTTGGATGAAAGAGTTGTAAACTGTCAGTTGTCAGATCTCACTACAAAATCAAATCAGCTAAATTGAATATTACTGAACTATTTGTATTCGAAGGTAGATCTAATTTATAAGCATTGTCACTTATTGTCCCTACAATCTTATATGGTCCAAAATTTTGTACTGACTTAATGGTTCCTATTAGAAACTTCTTAGGACAAATTATAATTAAAATTATATCTCCTACAAACTTAACTAGTATCCCGTGTTAATCAACATTAGATTTACTTTTTTCTCAAGTTATTGCTAGTTTTTATTAAATAAATTTATTAAAATTATGAACGCTTTGGATAAACGATGATGCAAATTGATTGGTCCCTTGATGCTCTTGAAATGCTTTCCCGAATGGTTGCTATTATGGTCCTAATTTTTAAGGTTTACTTCTTTTTTTATTAATTTAAGGGTGACTTTTACTTACTATATTAAGATATAAATAAGTGTGAAAGGATGCCTAATTCTGATTTGGCAGCCCTTTCGTGAACTGAGGCAAGCTTGACTAGGACCAAATAACTAAATGAAATTAGTGGCATTAAATGTGCTAAGTGCCCTCAAGGCAACATGGCTGTCTAATACACATGACATTAGGCGCCAGCATAGGTGCTAGCATGGGTTGGGATGCTAAAAATTTCGGCTATTTTAATCATGAGCAATGCTTTTGGGGAGTATGATATGAACAATCACAATAAAATCTTAAAATGCAGTTGGGAATAAATAAATTTTCAAATTTTGTGCCATGCCAAATTTCAAAATGACAAACCTTCTCAAATAGATTATTCAGAACAAAATATTCTCGCGTCCTAAAAAATATGTGCTCAGTTTAAATATGCAGATAAAAACTTGACTTTGTAGCTTCCATAGTGTAAGATTTATCTAATATTTGCTACTATATATTCATCGTATTCAACACTTATACTCTCTTCCATATCATTAGATTTGTAACCCTCCATTATATATTATGGTGGTGCATGCTTTAAAAATAATTAAAAAAAATTGCATCAGAGTGGCGAGCACCCTGACACCAAGCGCTTTGCACTAAGGCACTCATTAGCACCTTGGTGATGAAGTTTCCTTGGAAGGTGTTGAAGTGTTGGAGCCTCGCCTTTTTTGATTTAGCATCTTGGCGAGCACTGGCTTGCCTTTGATATTACTGAATGAAATAATATTTAACTCTCCTTGTAATTTTTTATAAAAAAAATTTATAGGCAATTTTTTGCTATAATGAAATTAATTTTATCTATTTTAAAATAACACTAACAATAATATTTTTGAGAGCAAGATTCAAGATCTTTAGATTCTGATTGTACATGAAGAAACTAATATTATGTGAGAAAAATAACTAATGATATTAAAATTGTTGCAAAGGATGTGCTTGGAGTATGAAAAGAAAAATCTCATAATAGTAAAAATAGTTGGTGGTAGAATCAAAATGTGCAAGAAAATATTAAAAATGAGAAGTTTTGTTATTAAAATTGGTTTATATGTTAAAATTCAAAAAATCGATAAAGATATAAAGATTTATATGTGTTGCAAAGAATTTAATTTTAATGATTTATATAATAGATTAGATAGTAAGGAGGGCTAAAGATGTATGCATAAATTAGTCAAGTAAAGTGATATGAGAAGTAATGATTTAATTCAAGTGAAGTGCATTAATGATGAATATAAAAAATACTTTTATTAGAATAAGATATTCAACAAGGTGGATGAGATATTTTGATAAGCTTTTCAATGAAAATTGTGAGAATACGATTGACTTTAGTGACCTTAGCACCCTAAATGAAAATAGAGATTTTTGTTTTTATTGGCGTATTTGTAAAGGCAAAATTAGAGATGTTTTAAAGGAAATGAAGTGTGACAAAACTATTGAACCTGATGATATTTCAATAGAGATGTGTAAATACTTAGGAGATGAATGAATTTCTTGGCTTATGAAACTTTTTAATATTATTTTAAAGGCTAAAAATATACTAAATGAGTGGAGAATGAGTGTGTTGATTCCTATTTTTAAGAATAAAGATGATTCATAAGAGTGTGAATTATAGAGGAATTAAGTTTGTGTGTCATATTTTGAAACTTTGGGAGAGAGTTATTGAGCATAGGTTACGTCGTGATACTAGTGTTTCTCAAAATCAATTTTTATTCATGCCGGGTAGGTCTACTATGGAAGCTATACATTTATTGAGAGGTTTGATGTAGAAGTATATGGAGAATAAGGAGGATCTACATATGATATTTATTGATTTAGAGAAAGATTATGATAGAGTTTCAAGAGAAGTGCTATGGAGAGTTTTAGAAAAGAAAGGGGTTAATAATGCTTATCTCAAGCCATTAAGGATATGCATGTAGGAGCTGCTACTTGTGTTCAAACACAATTACACAAGGAGGTTAGACCAAGTGTTCTCCTATTTTAGTTGGATTACATGAAGGATCAGTTTTAAATCCATATCGTTTGCTTTAGTCATGGATGTTTTTACTAGATATTTACAGGAGGATGTACCCGAGTGTATACTTTTTGCTGATGATATTCTTCTTGTTGATAAGACTATAGAGGGAGTTAAAAGTAAACTTGAATTATGGATGTCAACCTTAGAGTCTAAAGGCTTTGTTTGAGTAGATCTAAAATTGAATACATGGAGTGTAATTTTAGTAGTAATAAATCTAATTAGAGGATTTTGAGTTTGCAAGATAAAGTCATTAATAAGAGTACTTGTCGGGTCTATTATCTAGAGTGATGGTGAAATGATGGAGATATTATTAGTCAAATTCAAGTTGGATGGTTGAAGTGGAGGAATGCATCAGGTCTGTTGTGTGATAGAAAAGTACCCCTCAAACTTAAGGGAAAGTTTTATAAGATTGTGGTGAGACCTACAATGCTTTATGATGCAGAATGTTGACCATTAAAAAAGAAGCGTACAATTAAGTTAAAGCGTTACAGAGATGAGGATGCTTAGGTGAATGAGTGGCTTTACTCTTAAAGGTATCGCCTTAGATGGTTTGGTCACATAAAACATCGATCTTTTGATGATCCAGTTAGGAGGTAGATGTATTAGATTTAGCCTACGTTAAGAAAGGTAGAGGTAGACCTAAAAAGACTTGGTTAGAAAATATTGGAAATGACATTTTTTTATTAGATTTAAATGAAAATTTGACTATTAACAGAACACAATGGAGAAAAAAGATTCATGTAGCCGACCCCATAGTAGGATCAAAGCTTGTTGTTGTTGTATATTAAAAGTTAAAACTTTTCCTATCCAATAGAGTTTTGGCTAAGCCATCCATTAACCATCATAATTGGTTGTTCCAACTCATTAGAGAGTGTGGTTATAGATGGAATCTATTCTAATGCTTTGTAATTACTAAAACTAAAAGTCAATATATATTAACAATCAAATAGTGGCCTCCTTTGGAGAGAAATGTAATGATCGTTATGGAGACAAAAATAAATCCACGTTAGACCTATCTTAATAAAACACAGTGTATGTTGAGACCCGAGAAAGTTGTTGTGTTATGATAGGCTACTTAATTGGACCATTTGGTGTTGTTAGAGGATGCCTTGATAATGTTGTTAGCATTCGGACTAATTTATTTTGGTTGATTTGATAAAGAAAGTTGTTTCTGTTGGTGTAAGGTGACATGAGATGCAATCAAATTAAGGGAAACAGGCTCTTTTAAGCATCCAGATATTGATCCCTTTAATCAGCCATTTGATGTTGGATTTGTCATCTAAATTGAAGTTAGTTTAGTTATTTTTTGCACAAATCATTGATAAAACAAGGTATATGAATATGGGCTTTCATATTTGGCAAAAACATCCATTTTATGTTTTTGAGTTTCTTTTTTGCTTTTCTTTGTGCTAACTTGTAGATTTCCTTGGCTTTTATGCTTTTGTTGTGTTCTATTTGCCAACATATACTATATATTGTCTGATATGAAAAAACGAATTGAAAAAACAATTGAATAACTGACTGATTGATGGTTTACATGGAGGGTGCGGGGAGGGGGTGGCAGGACATAATGTGTTTTTTTTAAGTCATTATTTGATGCTGTTGTACCGCCCAGCAACCACCCTTATAAACTTGGCCTTTTTTCACACTTCCATAAATATGGAGAGCATTTTTAACGCCCCATGAAGAGTAAGCGAAGGGAAATAAGTTATGTTTTTCAAAACCATAAGACAATATAGGGAATGGGTTAAATTGAGCTTTGATGACATTTACTTAGAATCACACTCAATAAGAAGGAATCTATATGACAGGACAACACTTAATAGGCTGTGTTATGTTAAGTATATTTACTTATGATCAATATGATAGTATGTAAAAGCTCATGGTTTTTCATTTTTAATTTGTAAGCTTCTGATTGGGTCCATCTTCCCGAGTCTAAAGTAAAGTTATTAGCATGTTTGTTTTTCCTTGTTAAATATTAATATCATTGTTTAATGAGATAAAGCTGACTATTTAGCATACCACTGGGGACCATTTGCCCTTTCCTTATCCAAACTTTTATTGAAAAATAAAATTTGAACTCCATAGGTTGGTTTGGATGGGATTCACATGCTTGATCCAGGCAGTAATAGAACATTGAGAATCTATCCGCTTGAGAATCTGACAAGATGGGAAGTAAGTTGATTTCTTTTTGCATTGAAATAATTATTTTGGATTTGAATTCAACTCTTTTTGTAGAAATTTAGTGACGCTGCTTTTTTTTTTTTCTATTTAAATTAGGTAATGGATTCATCTATATTTGCTTTCTGGGCTAAAAGCTCTGTTGATATTGAATCTAGGCGAATACGGCTGCAATCTAACAGTTACACTTCCAATACTATGCTCGACACTGTGACCGCTGCAATAGCTCAGGTCTGATGTCCTTTCTTGTATTCAAAATACATGTTTATGATTTTTTACAAAGATAACATTTGGAGCAAGGTCATTATCTTTTAATACAAGCTGACTGCTGCTAGCGTCAAGATTTGATGGCTTTCCTCCTTTTTGATTACTATGATTTATGTAGTGGTTATTTACTTACATAAAACTAGAATTGTTATTCTTTGTCCTAATCCCCGACGAAAAAGGCCAAGGGTTGATGTTAGGTGGATAATCAATTATAAGATTTAAAAAAAAAAAGAATTCAAATTTGAAGTTGGTTAGTTTCAGTGTGTTTGCTAGAAACAATGTGCCATCATATGCCCTTATTTTGTTGAGAAGTAAATAATATATTTATCATAGTGTGATTTTAAGTAGTGCGTGACGACTTAACCCAATTGTTATGAAAACCAGGCAAGAGTGGCTAAGACAACCATAGCTGCTGTGCCACATGTTGAGCCAATCCAGCCCAATCAGAGTGAAAAGTGGGCTATGGTTGACCTAGTTTGTTACGCCAGTTCTGTCCGAATCGGCTCAGAAAACCCGCTGGCCAATCCAGCGGGTATATAAGAGGCGGACACAGTCTGAAGTGTCCGCCTCTTCCTTCTCTGGGCCGCATGAATGAATGGGTCCCACCCATTATTTGATTTTTAAATTAAGAGAGAGAGAAGGCTAATGCTTTGGGAGGGGAATTAGATTAGGAAAGCTTTGTATTAAAGTGCATGAGGGGATTAGGGAGAGGTTATGTTTTGGTTGATTGAAATTAGGGTTTCTGGGAGGCTTGGGCTCTAGACAACTTGGTCTAGAAATTTGGGAGAGACGATCCTCCTCTCGAATTGAGGATCTCTTTTATCTTGCTATTTTATTCATCGTCTAGTGGAATCCAAGTTTCTTCTTGAGTTTTCTCTCAGTTTTTCTTGTGATTTTGCTGTTTTTCTGCTGTGGACAGCAGATTGGCTGCTGTTTGCTCTTCGTTTTGTGTTAGGATTGCTTGAGAACTCAAGTATAACCTTAGGGTTACTTGCAAACTCAAGTATTTCCTATCAAATTGGTATCAAAGCGTCGTTATTGGGACCGTTGGCGGCTGAAATCCTGAAATTTCAGTGGGATTTTCATTTCCGTAAAAGATCTTTGTGATTCTTGGGAAGAACGATGACTGGGAAGAAGGTAGAAGTCTTGGAAGGCGAAATCGGAGAATTGAAATTCGATTTGGAGGGAAGATTTTTCGATTTTCAAAATCAAATCACCTCCAACAATGAAATGTTAGAGGGGAAGTTCACCGTGATGGAAGAAATGATGAAGAAATTACTTGAAATGAAGACCAATCCGGCGACATCAGAAGTACGAGAGACCACCGACGGCCATGGCATGGGAGAAAATCTGAACCCGTTACGGGGGAGGAGGAATTCGGAGGTGGAGATCCTGGAGGAGGAGAATGACATGCCCCCTCTAGAACCGCTTTCTAGAGAAGAGATAAGTAGGAGATACGACCAACGGGAGGCTGATTTTGTCGGAAGGAAGGAAGAATTCAATTGCTGAGGTGCTGAATTTGAAAGAAGCCAGCGTCGAGGTGCTGATTTTGAAGGGGGAAGGGAAGAATTTCATCGCCGAGGTGCTGAATACGAAAGAATTCAGCGTCGAGGGGCTGTTTTTGAAGGAAGAAGGGAGGAACGTCATCGTCGAGGTGCTGAATTTGAAGGAATTCAGCGTCGATGTGATGATTTTGAAGGGAGAAGAGGAGAGTATGAAGAGGGATTCGAGTATAATCGTCGGAGGGATGATCGGGACACTTGGGGAACTCTTCTCCTTTGAGGAATGGGAGGTTATGGAGGATACCGGGGAAACGGAGGAGACCCACGGGTGAGGAAGTTGAAGATGCTCGTCTTTGAGGGTGAAGACAACCATGGCTGGATCTATAAGGTGGAGCGTTACTTTGCTGTCAACGGGTTGACAGAGGAGGAGAAGCTGACGGCGGCGGGATTGTGCTTGGAAGGAAAAGCTTTGGCATGGTACCAGTGGCGTGACAGGAGGGAGCCTATCTGGAGCTGGAGAGAATTCAAAGATTGCTTATTAGAGCGTTTTCGAGCCAATGGGGGATGAGACTTCTATGAGCAATTATTTGCTTTGACTCAAGAAGGGACTGTGGCGGATTACCGGGATAAATTTGAGTACCTGGCTAGCAGATTGGATCACATCTCAGAGTCAGTCCTAGAAGAGAACTTCATGAAGGGGTTGAAACCTGAGATACGGGCAGCAATTAGGGTGATGGAGCCGAGGGACCTAGGCAAGACTATGGAGCTGGCGCAATTGGTGGAGGATCAAAAGAAATTAAAAAGGGGAGCTAGAGGGAACTATTCGGGGGGGGGGGGCTATGGGGGGGGGGGGGTCATACAGGATGACCACCACTTTTTTACCACAAGAGGGGTAGCGCCAGGGAATCTGAAGGAAGCACCAAAGGAGAAAGCTGGGGGAGGAAATGGGGGACATTTCAAAAAGCTGACAGAAAAAGAGATGCAGGATAAGAGGGCAAGAGGGTTGTGCTTCAAATGTGATGAGAAATACATGCCGGGGCATAGATGCAAGGACCGAACTCTTCAAGTTCTCCTTGTCTGCGAAGACGAGGAGGGAGGTGGGAGCAAATCTGGAGAGGAGGAGGAGAAGCTGCATCTGGATGTGGCAGAAGTCTCTCTTAACTCCGTAGTAGGATTCACTCTGACACACTATGAAGGTGAAAGGAGAGATAGCTGACCGTGAAGTTGTGATATTGATCGATAGTGGAGCAACCCACAATTTCATTTCAGATGGTGGAGCTGCTGGGGTTGGAGTTAGTAGATACAAGAGGCTATGGGGTGATGATGGGCACGGGAAAGGTAGAAATGAGAAGAGGAGTCTGTAGAGGGGTGGTGCTGAAGATCTAAGGTATCACAGTGAAGGAAGACTTCATTCCACTAGAATTGGGGAGTACGGATGTCATCCTATGGATGAAGTGGTTATAGACCTTAGGGGAAATCAAGATCAATTGGGGTACTCTGAGGATGGAGTTGGTGAAGGGAGGAAGGAAGAGGGTGATTCAAGGTGATGCGGGGCTGACCAAGGCAACCTAATCAAAACAATTCAGGAGGAGGGGAAAGGCTATTTGGTGGAATTACACAGATTGGAGGGAGTGAGTTTGGAGGAAGGGGGAGACGTACCTCTCTATGTGCAGCCTTTGATCCAGGAATTTTATGAGGTTTTTCAACCCCCTTTAGGGTTGCCACCACCCAGTGAGCAAGAGTATGCCATCACATTGAAGGAGGGAGTGTCACCTGTCAGCGTGCGACCTTACCGTTACCCTCAATTTCAAAAGGACGAAATAGAAAAGTTGATCAGAGAAATACTGGAAGCAGGGATCATCAGGCCCAATACCAGCCCGTTCTCTAGTCCTATTCTATTGGTGAAGAAAAAAGATGGCAGCTGGCGGTTCTGTGTAGACTACCGTGCATTCAACAAGGAAACTGTATCTGATAAGTTTCCTATACCAGTGATTGATGAGCTGTTAGATGAATTGAGTGGAACAGCGATCTTCAACAAGATCGACTTGAAATCAGGGTATCATCAAATTCGAATGAAGAAAGAAAATGTGCCCAAGACTGGTTTTAGAACTCATGAGGGCCACTATGAGTTCCTAGTGACGCCCTTTGGCCTCACCAATGCTCCCGCCACGTTCCAGGCACTCATGAATAAGATCTTCAAATAGTATCTCAGGCGATTTGTTTTGGTATTCTTCGATGACATCCTAGTGTATAGCAGAACAAAGGAGGAGCATTGGGGGCATTTAAGGAAGGTGCTAGAGGTTTTCCAGGAGCACCAGCTATGGGCTAACTTGAAGAAGTGCTGCTTCGCACAAGCCAGTGTGGAGTACTTGGGGCACGTGGTATCCAAGGAAGGGGTAGCAGCAGATCAGTCTAAGATTGAAGCTATGTTAAAGTGGCCACTGCCTAAAAATCTGAAGGAGTTGAGGGGATTCCTAGGGCTTACAGGGTACTACAGAAGATTTGTGAAGGGATACAACGCTATAGCATGGCCACTCACGGAGCAGTTGAAGAAAGATGGGTTCCTATGGGGGTAGGCAGCCACGACAACATTTGAGAAGTTGAAGAAAGCTGTGACCATAGTTCCGGTCTTAGCTTTGCCAGATTTTACTCAGGTCTTCATAGTTGAGACAGATGCATCGGGGTATGGATTAGGAGCGGCGTTGATGCAGAATCACAATCCTATTGCCTATTTCAGTCAGGTGTTGACTGCAAGAGCCCGGTTGAAGTCCGTCTATGAGATGGAATTAATGGCAATCATTTTGGCCATCCAAAAATGGCGCCCCTACTTACTCGGGAGACATTTCATCGTCAGGACCGACCAACAGAGCTTGAAATATTTGCTGGAACAACGCATGGTGACAGAGGATCATCAGAGGTGGCTATCCAAACTACTGGGCTATGACTTTGATATTCAGTACAGACCATGGGTAGAAAATAAGGCTGCAGATGCCTTGTCCAGGTGCATGGGGGAGCTGCAGACGATGGCTGTATCAGTCCCAATGATGCTGGATTGGGAAGCCATCAAGGAGGAGAGTGCCAGGGATGAAGAACTAGACAAGATCAGGACAGACTTACTAAAGGAAGAGGGCAGCCATCCAGGATATTCATTGGAAGGGGAGAGATTGCTGTACCAGGGGAGGTTTGTGTTGCCCAGAACATCAATTCACATTTCACATTTGCTCCAGGAGTTCCATGGGACTGCAGTGGGAGGTCATTCAGGAGTGCTAAAGACTGACTGAAGACTGGCGGCAGAGCTGTCTTGGAAAGGTATGCATAAGGATGTGGAAGAGATGGTATCCAGGTGCGAGATTTGCCAAAGGAATGATTATCTAGCTATGTCACCAGGGGGGCTACTCTAGCCATTGGCTTTACTAGGTCAAGTCTGGGAGGAGATCTCTATGGATTTTATTGATGAGTTGC